GTCCACCAGTGGTACTCCACCTTCTACGCCCAGCCAGGTCTCAGTAATACCTGCCAGGTCCGCGCCCCCCTCTAAAATAAGATCTTGTATGAGGGGGGCCTTATTTACCACGGACCTGGCATTACATAACATCAGCCGATGGTCCCGGGCCGGGGGGTCTGCGTCCCCTGGAAACCGAGTGGAGGCCTGAGGACCGGAGGAGGAGGGCGCGGACCTGGCAATAAGCGAGTAAGTTTGACCCTTGATTTTCCAGCATCCAGGATTTCTCTCCTCACTCTTTACATTAACAACTTTCTGAAACAGGATAAAATCATGCATCTAATAATGAAGGCAGTTCCAAACAAGACAGAAGCACCCAACAGTGAATTAAACTTATTTCAGGATCATCCCCTTATTCCAAAGCAACCTGGGAATTCAGCTTCTCCATCCATCCATCCATCCATCCATCCATCCATCCATCCATCCTGCTATTAAGTTAAAAAAAAGAGCAAACTGATAAAAAATGTACTTTAAAGAGCAATCAAATACAAATACATCAGAACATTAACTATCACAGGATATTTGAAAAAGGGACTGCAGTAACATACAGGCAGTCCTTGACTAACAATTCATTTAATGACGGTTCAAAGTTACAATGGCATTTAAAAAAGTGACTTATGACCATTTTTTTTCATTTATGACCGTTGCAGTGTCCGAGGTCATGTGATCAAAATGCAGACACTTGGCAACTGACTCATATTTATGATGGTTGAAGCCAGATTCACTTAAGAACCGTGTCACCAACTGTAGTCATTCACTTAACAACTGAGGCACGAAAGGTCGAAAAATGGGGCAAAATCCACTTTTCAAATGCCTCATTTAACAACACAAATGTTGGGCTCAACTGTAGTCTTAAGTCGAGGACTACCTGAACATCACACTTTAGAAAGCCAAAGCAAGGTCCTTGTATTCCAAGGAGAGGGTGAATGGGTCTTATTCGAATTTGGTCAAGTAAAAGGGGGGAAAAACGAATCCCTCCGGCACTGAAGGGGATCATTTGGTCATCGGGTTGAACTGGGAAGCCCGCGGCCCTTGGAAAAAAGCTGCCTACTGGTTTTTTTTTTGTCGTCTGCAGCTGCCCCGAGTTGGGAGCCCCCGGCAGGCGCAGGTGCCCGTTCGGGCTGGAGCTGCAGCTGAGGCGGGAGCCGGCCGAGGTCGCCCTTTGCGGCAAAGGCGGCGGGAGGCGAGCAGGAAACTGCCCAGCCCTCCTCCTTCTCCTCGCTCGCTTCCAGTCGTTCAAGGGCGCTCGCTCCGCTTTCCTCCGGCCGGGGGTCAGCAATGAGGGGCAGGCAGCAATTCGAGGACGGAGCTGTTGCCCGCATTAGAGGGCCGGCCAAGTCTCTCCGGCCGCTTCTCTTGCAGAGGTTGCAGGCGGCTTTCCCTTGGAATCTCCACCGCGGCCCTTCAGGTCGCAACGAGTGCCAAGCACCGGAGCTGACCTTGGCAAAGCATGCGGGTGGGTCAGAGCTCGGGAGAAGCCCAGGAAAGGGCTGCGGGGGGCCAGCTCGGGCGTACAGAAAGCACCTTGGAGCGGTACAGGGGCAAAGCGGCTCCTTTGCAAAGGGTTCTGCTTGGGCTTTTTACCCTTTTATCTTGCGACGGCGTCCCTAACCCGCGGCTGGGAATCAAGAGCCTTAAAGATGCCCCCCCCCCCGCACTGCTCCCTCCTTTGACACCGCTGGACGGGGGCCTCCTGCAGAACCAGAGAGGAGCCAGCCTTTCCCTCCGACGGCTCCGCCTGGATCGAGAAAGAATTACAATAAAAGAAAAGAAAAGGTCTCCCAACCAAGGCGCAGCTGGGGGGGAGGGGGGGGAGGCTCGGCAGATAAACCCGGAAAACCCCGGGAGCCGCCCTCCTCCTCCTCCGGTTTGCGTTTCCCCCCCCCTCGCGGCGTTCTCCCCCCCCCCACCGTCCGTCAGGAGGCGGGGCCGCGTGGGCTCCTCCTCCTTTCCCACCCGGCTGTTGTGCGCGCGCGCGCGCAGCCCAGCAGCCAACCAGCCTCCTCTCTCTCTCACGTTCCTTCCGTACTCGGTCCGTGGTTCTTTCTGGCGGGGGAGGGGGGGCGGAGGGGAGCGGAGGTTTGCTCGTGCAGAGCGGAGGCTGATGTGAATCCTTCGGGGGTCTTGCCCGGAGCTGCTGGAAGGGGGAGGGGGCGCAAGGGGGGCAGCAGCAGGAGGAGGAGGAGGAGGAGGAGGAAGAGCAGCGCTGCTTCTGCCGCTTCCGTCATCATGGCTCACTCCCCTGTCCAGCAGCCTGGCCTGCCGGGGATGCAGGTGAGTAAGCACCCCCCCCCCGCACACACACACACACACACATATACACGTACACCGGCCTTCTCTTCCCGCCTCCCTGGCGTCCCCTGCTTGGGCTTGAAGCTGCTCTGGGGTCCTGGCGGGAGGAGGGAGGGGTTGGTGGGGCTCGCTGCGGGGATCTGGTCGGGGGCTGGCACGAGGTTCCTCGCTCGGGGGTGGGGGGTCGCAGCTCTGGAAGGGGCGCCGGCAGCAGGCGGGGAGAGGGCCGGGGAAAGCGGGCGGGCGGGGGGGAGGCACGTGCGGAGAGGGGAGGCGGGGGCTGCTGGTGGCTGCGGCCACTCTTCCATTTGCGCCCCTGGCAACGAGGGAGGGCGAGGAGAGCGGGTTACCCCAGTCGCCTCCTCTCTTGCCCACTAAGTTGCCCGGGGAGCCTCCCTGCCTAAGTGTGGGATTGGCAAAAAAAAAAACCCCAACAGACCACCTTTGCAGACAGACCCCTCTTGATCTGCTTGGAAGAAGGGTTGACCTTCAGGGCGTCCTGCGCTGCTCGTTTGTGTACGTGCCCAGCTTCTCATTTGGAGCTGAATTTAGAGGACACCGCAGATGTGATTTGGGGACCCATCTCTCCCTCTCCCCCCCCTCCCTCGGTCTTTCTTCCTCTCCCTCTCTCCCTCTTTCTTAGACGCTTTGTATCTTCAGTTGCTCTTTTGGTTGGTGTTGGTTAGCAAAATCAAGATGTAGGAAAGGCAGCGTTGGGATGGCATTCCTGAGGTAGTAATTCTTGGGGATGGGCAGAGAGTTTCAAATGTACATGTTAAGAAAAATCACTAATAAAAAGGATCTTTTCAGGCTCTTCTACTTTGATGGCTATGTTTTATAAGTGGTATCTGTACTGTGTATATACATTAGAGCAGTGGTTCTCAACCTTTTTAATGCCGCGACCCCAACCGGTCGTAAGTCGAGGACTAAACCAGTCGTAAGCTGAGGACTAAACCGGTCGTAAGTCGAGGACTACCCAACCGGTCATAAGTCAAGGACTTTCCCTGCCCGGGAGCGCCGCGCATGCGTGGTTCCGCCCCCTGTGCCGGCCGAGGCGTAGCTGGCAAGCGGCAGAGACGGAGCAGGCTGACCACCAGCTGGCCCAGCCCAAGGGAGGTAAGGCACCCGCTGGAAAAGGGGGGAAAAAATGGCGGACAAAAAAATGGCGGATAGCCTTGCTTGGCGACCCCCCGTGAAATGGTCGATCGACCCCAAATGGGGTCCCGACCCACAGGTTGAGAACCACTGCATTAGAGAGATTGAATGGTAATAGGGAAGCTGTAGCTAGAAAAAAAAACTATGTAGTGTACTTCCAGGGTACTGTATCTTTTTTTTTTTTTAATTTTGAATTCTAGGACTTGCTGGGCCTGATAACTCAAATCCTCAATGACTTGTGTACTTTAGGAAGGCTGTGAATTCCAGAGCTCTGAAATGTGGTTGTAGAGGAAGACAGTCCTCACCTTGTGCCCAGTTCATCAAAGATGGAAGCGGGAGGGCGAGTGTTGAACCATCAGTTAAAAAGTTTTTTTCCTCAATTAACAGACTCTGTATAGTATCCAGAATATTACCCAATTTCTCTGACCTCAAGCTTGTTATATGTCCAGATCCTCTGCTCAGATCATTGATTTTTCTCATAGTTCCTCTCAAAGGTCACTTTCTTCATCTTTTTTAAAGACATTAATCAGAACCTGAAGTTAGATCATATCAGTGTTTGACTAAGAAGAAGTTATGAAGATTCCATGTTTTCTGTTTTCTCCTGTCTTTTGGTTATTTTTCATTCTCTGCTGCCTCCTCCAATAACCTGTACTGGAGGGCTCTGATAAACAAGGGTTGTGTATATCTGATATACACATGTATGTCTTGCAGCATTGTGTACAATGCAAATCAAGCTAGCACAAAAGAGGGAGCAAAAACAAAGGAATTTTATTTTGTTTTAAATTGGGCAAGGAATCTTAAGACATATGAATCAAACTGGGCCAAAATAAATTATGCCTACTTACATTGCTCTTACCTGGCAGGTAAGCTGTCTTAGAGTCCACTACACTGATGGATCCAGGATCATAGTACAAAAAACATTTATGATTAGTTTCCAGGAGCCTCTGGGGAGTGTTGGATTTCTGTGTTATCACCTGGATTCAACATGGTTTACATGATTTGACATAAAGGTATAATGTGAAAGTGAGATTTACCCTGATGTTGAATTGTAAACGGTAAAAATAGGACATTTTTATTTTATAAAAATGTAATTCATAGTTTAACCTATCCAACATACCATTAAAAAGGATTTAAAACATTGACAAATATATTATGGTATCCAAATACAGGTATATTTAAATATGCTTTTTTAAATGAATCAATCTTGTACTCAGTCAAGTTGTATCAGAAAATTACATATAGGTTGCTTGTTAGTCTTCTACCCACAGTATAATTTGTAAATAGCACTTTATATCTCAATTCTTTTAAATCATTTATTAAAGAGTTTTCAATATTATTCCACAATATCTTCATATAGTAAGTCCTTTTATTTTACATTTTAGATTTATTGTCTTAATTTTTTGCAGCTATATTCTATATAGGTAATTCTCGACTTATGACCACAATTGAGCCCAAAATTTTCATTGCTAAACAAGACAGTTGTAAAGTGAGTTTTGCCCCATTTTATGATATTTCTTGCCACAGTTGTTAAATGAATCACTGCAGTTATTAAGTTAGTAACACAGTTGTTAAGTGAATCTGGCTTCCCCATTGATTTGTTACTTGTCAGAAAATTGTAAAAGGTGATCACATCACCCTGGCCACTGCAACCATCATAAATATGATTTAGTTGCCAAGTAACTAAATTTTGATCACAGGACCTTGAGGATGCTGCAGGGGTCATAATTGAAAAAATGGTCACTTGTTTCAGTGCTGTTGTAACTTAAGATGTATTTTATTTTTAACAATGCTTTGCATAGCTTAAATTGAAACTCAATTCTTCAAAATTTCCTAGCCTACATTTCTTATATTAGTTAACTTAAGGGAGAAAATCCTCACAATTAAAACCTTTGGAAAATATTCCCTCTTGTTCATCTAAAATAATTTGCTATGTAATCATTTCCAAATGTTTTCCAGGTGTGTTGTAATGCAATTTCTGTCCTAATTACTAGTATTGGCCATGGTGCCTGAGGTTGATAGAAACTTTAGTTGAGCATACCTGGAGGGGACATCAAACTGGTTAAAGCAACATTGTTTGCTTATTTATCAAAATTACATACTTCAGAGGCTCCCAGTGAAGCCAACCCATATAGTTGTTAAACAAGTCAACAGTCAGTACAATAAAATCAAGCACAAAGACCACACAATGGAGATAGATAATTAATTCCCCAGCTTTATTTTAGTGGCCCTTAAGTGACTTTTCCCAGTAAAATTTCTCACATTTTGGGAAGCACAAAAAGGGCAAAATCAGTGCGATAGATGAATCTGCATCCTTTTTATTCATTTACCTCCTCCACTCTGGGATGAATATGTATCTGTATATATATATATATATTTTATTGCTCTTTCAGCAATACATCCCTAGGATTCTGTGCACTTCTAGGTAAAGATAAAATGTAAAAAGTTACTATTACTCGTAAAAAGACTTCCCTGTCCAAAGAAAATGAATCTGGTTATTTTATTACAGCACTAGTCTTTAAATGTATTGTTATCTGTCCTCAGTTGCCTGTGTGTGCATTTGCAGGTAACAGTTTCACTGGGATTACCAGGAAATGTTGCTTGTACACACATACATTGAGATGGTTGAGGACAGGCGAGCTTTGCAAAAGATGTAGCTAGTTTAATGCACCAAAGAGAGATCCTTGCTTTATTTTAAAATACTCTGGGAAACGCCTCTTTAAAATGCTTTGTGTAGCTCTTGTACCTAGAATCATAATGTCATTGTTCAAAATGAAAGGGAATATAGGGAATATAGGGTTTGCGTACTGATTTTCTGTGCGTTTCTTTCAACACCATTTTGTTGGATTGAGGTGAATCATTTTGTGTTCCAGTTGTCTTGAGGAAAAGGAACAAACTATTCAGTTGCTGGGGACTTTCCAATGTGTGGTTGCTGCTTAATTAATTTGGGTTCTTAATATTTTAAAATAGGATTTACTTTTAAATAGGATTAATCAAAGAGCAAGTTAAAAATACAGGAACTTTGCTGAAACTATGTAGATCTAGTTCTGTGTATATATTACCTTGAAATCCATGATAGAGGAAATTTAGGAATTTAGATATCACCATCATCATCATTATCTTGTCCTACACACACATACATCCACACGCACACGCACACATAGATGGTCAACTCAATCAAAGCATATTTATATTTGGCATGTTGGATTTTTGTGTATATCTATCAGGATTAGCACCAAAAAGCCTATTGGACAAGGAATTTTATATCCTGAATAGTCTTTCATGCAGTATGGTTATAAATTACTTGCTAACTGTTCAAAGCCACAATTTCAATATCATCTTCATGCTTTATCGGTTTTCCGTTTTCTGTTGCACTTTGTTTCCTTACCACCTGTTTCAGTGTTTAATCTAACAGATTAATGTAAGACAAATTGGAAAACCTTTGGCTCTCAGGACGAATTCCCAGCATTCTTCTCCACAGCCTGTGAGACAGATTGTTGTCTAAACTTGAATTGATGCTTATGCTTAAGTAGACATTTATTCTCCAAAGAAATGAGATTAGAAATAATCACTAAGTGGAGCCATGCCTCTGACAGTACAGGTAGTCTCAGGTTCCGGCCATAACTGAGCCTAAAATTTATGTTGCTAAGTGAAACATTTCTTAAGTGAGTTTTGCCCCACTTTATGACTTTTCTTGCCACAGTTGTTAAGTGAATCATTGCATTTGTTAATAATATAGTTGTTAAGTGAATCTGGATTCCCATTGACTTTGCTTGTCAGAAGGTCACAAAAGCTGACCCCAGGACGCTACAACTGTCCTAAATATGAACCAGTTGACAAGGAGCTGAATTTTGATCACGTGACCATGGGGATGCTGCAACGGTCATAAGTGTGAAAAATGATCATAAGTCACTTTTTTCAGTGCCATTGTAACTTTGAACGGTCACTAAATGAACTGTAAGTCGAGGACTACCTGTACTGAGCTGTTCCCTCTTCATGGTGTATAAGAGAGTTTAGGGTCTGAGAGATGAGTTAGTCTTTCTTCATCCTATACATCAGGGATGTCAAACTCGCGACGTCATGTGACGTCGCGCGATGTATTGCGACCTTTTTCCCATTGCCAGCAATGGGGTGGGCGTGGTTTTGGTGTGACGCATCCGGCCCATGGGCCGGCAGTTTGACATGCCTGCTATACATGATGCCTCCAACCTGGGTTAGGTCATTGTTTAGCAATACAGATAATCCTTGACTTACAACTGTTTGTTAAGTGACTGTTCAAAGTTATGATAGCACTGGAAAAAAATAAATCAACTTATGATCCATCTCCAAAGTTGTAGGGTTTTCAATCAGGTAATCAAAATTTGGGTGCTTGGCAGCCCACTTGCACTTCAGCTCCCCCCACCAGCCTATCCCCTCCCCATTTCTGCTCTTTTGGCCACCTGTACTCTGCACCCTGCTTTGCAAGCAGACTCAGAACTATGTGGCTTTAGGGCTGCAAGAACCTCCTAAATCACAGCACAGTGCAAAGCCACAGCAGCTCCTGGAAGTCATGCCCAACCCAGCCTGCCCCATTTAGCACTAAGCCTCAGTACCCAGGAAGCACTAGCAAGCATTCATTCACACAGCTGCCTTCTCTCCCAGTTCCCCACACCCACTTTTGCTTTGCCTCATTGCCTTTGCTGGCTCCTTTTTGGATCCAGGACTGGAATTGCGGTTTCCAAGTCACATGACATTTTGCTTTATGATCATATCACTTAGGGATGCAAATGCCAGTCCCATTTGTGCTTGTAAGTTGGGGACTATCTTTATGGAGAAAATAAAATTACCCACCTCCCTATGCAGGTGCTAATTGGCCAACTGTGATTTGCGCTATGCATAATTGTAGAGGTAGTCCTCGATTTACGATTGAGCCCAACATTTCTGATATTAAGTGAGACATTTGTTAAGTGAGTTTTGCCCCATTTTATGACCTTTCTTGCCACAGCTGTTAAGAGAATCGATGCAGCTGTTAAGTTAGTAAGAAAGTTGTTAAATGAATCTGGCTTCCTCATTGACTTTGCTTGTCAGAAGGTTGCAAAAGGTGATCACATGACCCTAGGACACTGCAACAGTCATAAACACGAGTCAGTTGCCAAGTGTCCTGAATTTTGATCACGTGACTACGGAATGCTGCAATGGTCATAAGTGTGAAAAGCAGTCATATGTCACTTTTTTTAGTTCCGTAACTTTGAATGGTCACCAAACGGACAGTTGTAAGTTGAGAACTACTTATAATTGCACATAGTGCAAACCTGGATTTCTTAAGTCTGAGGGTTTCTCTGTACATGGGTAGAAAAAAGATTGATTAAATTATTTTGACCAAACTAACGGAAATTTAACTTTTCCTTCAATAATGTATGCAAGAAAAAGGAATTTATGACCCCTAAACTCCAAAAAATATTCATTAACATAAATCTAACTATAAACTATCTATAATCGTTATGATATTGCTTTGAAACACATATATTTCTATATTACATATTTGCTATGAGTGTTTGGTGGTTTCCTTTGTAATAATACCTAGATCTATGCATTTAAATACATTTTTCTGAAAATAGATCCAGACTTTTCTCCAAAAGGCTTGTGGCACAAAACCATAGAAGGAAAAGACTTTCTTGGTGTGTGAACTGACTCTTGCTGATTTCATGAGTATGACAATAATGGTTTAGCACTGCTGCTTCCAGGAAGTGCTGTTTTGTTTTTTTTTGTTTCAACCATGGAACCCATAGGGTTCCTCTTGGTGATTCAATCCTGCTTAGATTTTCTTGACATTAGCCAAAGTAAACTAGAGTTAAACTGCTTACTTTTTTTTAATTATAAATCAAATATATTCATTCTGTGCTTTTGCAAAAATATTGAAAACAAAAACAGACTAATTAAAATACATCTTCCAGTAGCTGGTGATGTGGATCAATTCTGTGGAAGTCACAGTGGCAGGCTATTCCAGTGTGAGGATTGCTTGTTATTTTTCTTTGAGCTGCTTTCCTAATCCTTTGTTCTTATTTTAAAAATTCCACTATTTCAATTTATAGCTGTTATCTATGAAGATTTGTAACCCTTCCAAATATGGATGGTGTTTTAATGTTAAATAATAGAACTTCAATAATGGTGTTAACTTTGTGGAATGTTTAACTTGGCTCTGATCAATCCACTCCCTTTTATTTATAATAAAAAGACCAATTACAGCACTAGTATATTTAATAATAGACCCCATAGTGTGAAACTGCATTTTTGTTGTAATTTCAGATGCTTATTGAAAAAAGAAGTGAAATTATACTATCGTGTTTGTAGGTTGAATTTTAAATTGGTGAGATAGGTGGCAAACGTTTAATAAATCGTGTGTAAAGCTCAGTCTTCGAAATAATTGCGGAGATAGAATCTTTACCTTTGTCCCTCACTTCCCCTTCTAATTTTGTTTTGTTTTTAACCAACATCCTGGTTGTTTTCTGAAGTCCTTCAGTTTTGCAAACCCCCAAATATAATGATCCCATAATTTTTAAAAAGCAAATCTAATTTTTTCTACTTCTGCTTTATTTTTCATGGGTCCATTGTTTTGAGTCCTTTATATTTCTTGTTTCTGGAATTTCTTCCATTCTAAATGGAACAATCTAGAATTCAGTAACCTCAACTTTATTTATTATGTTCATTTAAATATTTCTTCCAGAATTTGAAGGCAGATCCAGAAGAACTCTTTACAAAACTGGAGAAGATTGGCAAAGGTTCGTTTGGTGAAGTTTTTAAAGGCATTGACAATCGAACACAGAAAGTTGTTGCTATAAAAATTATTGATCTTGAAGAAGCTGAAGATGAAATAGAAGATATACAGCAAGAAATAACAGTTCTCAGTCAGTGTGACAGTCCATATGTCACCAAATATTATGGATCTTATTTAAAGGTAAGTCTTTACTTCGCAGTGTGTCTATTTTATGAATTGGAGTATTTGTAAAACATCTATAATGAAATGAAGCCATCTGACATTTTGAAGTCTAGACAAAATGAAATGTTCATTCATTCTGTAAGACCTTTCTGTTTGTTTATGTAGAGACATCAACATATGCTGAAAATACCTGTGTGCTTATAAAGTCAGAATATTTAGAGAGGGTGTATATACGTTTATATACATGTATATATGTATGAATAAATACAATGTCAGTGCTAATTTAACCTTTTAATTACTAGTTTCCTTATGAAGAATCTTAGCAGTTGTCATTTGGAAAGCATCCAGAATGCAAGATAGTCCTGACTCATTTTGCAGGTTGTTCCTGCAGCTAGGGAGGTCCTTTTGCACAAAGCTCATTTCTTGTCTCTTCATTTGCAACACCCTTCACCAACACTAAAAGTTTCCTTAGCTTGGTAAGCCTCAGAAGATTTGGTTTTGCGTTTAAATAGCTTATGATCTGACAATTTCAGGAACTACCTCACTGTTGAAGTTTTCTTGACATTAAGATCAGCCAAAAAGGCTCTCTTAAAAGTTTTCCTAACTTGTTTGGTGGGTACCCGTTTGCTTCTTACTATGGAATGTACTTCCCTTAGGTCAGACATGTCAAACACAAGGCCCGGGGGCTGGATGCAGCCCGCAAAGTGGTTTCATGTGGCTCGCGAAGCCATCCTGGAAACAGTGAAGGAACGGCCCCCGCTGCCTTGGACTTGGCCCAGGCCGGCCGGGAGGGAGCCAATGTACAATTTTGTGGTGGCCATCTATGCTGAAACGTATTCAGTCTTAGCTCCACAAGGCTGTCTGGAAACAGTGAGGAACCAGCCCCTGCCGTGTCAGCCCCACCCCCTGGGTGCATGCTGGGGAGATGTTCCTGGGGAGAGGAATGAAGAAATGCACCATTACCTGGAAGTGGTCAGCAAATGGCCCCTACTTCACATATCTGTCTTGATGGGCTCTGGGGGAGGGGTTTCGGCAGGCAGCGGGGCACTCTCCTCACAGCACCGAGAGGCTGAGCCGGGCGGTGCAGATCCAAAAAGAAACGCAAGGCCACCCAGCTCCCAGCCTGCCCGGTTTCAGCAGGCAGCGGGGCGCTCTCCTCACAGTGCCAAGAGCTGAACTGGGTGGTGCGAATCTGATGAGAAATGCAGTGCTTCTAGCCCCCAGCCTGCCCAGTTTCAGCAGGAAGCAAAGTTGGCGAGCTTCGCACTGCCCGGCTCAACCTCTCAGCACTGTGAGGAGAGTGCCCCGCTGCCTGCCAAAACCACGCCCACCCAGTAAGCCGCACCCACCGTGGCCACACCCACCCAGCCCCCTGAGGGCAACCACAATGCTGATGCGGCCCTCAATGAAATTGAGTTTGACACCCCTGCCTTAGGTGATGTTCTCAGTACCAAATATTACTGTGGTTAAGAAAAGTATTCCTAGCCAGCTAGCTTCCTTGTTCATCGGAATAAGGTAATAGTTGATTGTAACTGTTTTTATTAGATTTTATTTAGGTTGATATTTTTAAGTTGTCTATCCTGAAGATAACTAAGATAGTTAAGGTGGATATAAATCAAATAAATAATAACTTTGATGTAGAATTTGAAGGAACAAAGCAGAAGCTCCTAGTAATTCTTGATGCAATAAATTTTAGATGGTATCTAGTCTAACACTTAGGAGTGTATAGGAGTGGACAATGGTGGATTTTTCAGATGTGTGGTCAGAAGTGTGAAAGTTGATTTCTGGATCATGGAAATTCCTGTAAGGCTCATGTGACATCAGGTACCAGTGGCCATGATCTGTGCATGGTTCTTCTTTTTGCATACGTCTAGAGAGAGAGTAGCTGAGGCAGAGTTACCATAGGTAATTCTCAGTTGCTAATAGTGTATCCAGGTTTTGTACTTCAATCTTTAAGACCTTGCCTTGAATGTTCGGGGGCCTGTGAGTGTAGAAACAAAGCTTGGTATGAATTGGAAAAGTGGCTGCATTTTCCTGTAGAAATTCTGCAGAGTTTGGTATTAAACGAAACAGATCATGGGTGAGTTTTGTCATTTGGAGAACAAAATGTTCTCAACTTGTAAAATTAGATAAAAGTTCTTGAAGGTCATTAGGTCTGTCTTGGAGAATCATGTCAGTGCACAGGGCATTTCAGTTACTGTTCAAATTTTTCACCTGTAGTACACTAACACTATGTAGTCTAAGTGTCTATATTTAAACTAAATCTAGGAAGAGGATCCGCATGATAATAGCATGGATGGGTTAAGTGTTGGATCATTGTTGCTTTCCCTACCACCACAGTGACTAGGAATTCCTGGTTTCAGATATTTTTTTTCTTTTGCACTAATCCAACAAGGTACAGTGGGATTTCATGGCTTTCCTCAAACAGTATCAAACATGTGTCTGCAGTATAGTTGTCCTTCATAAGAGACCTTAGAAACGGATCATTATTTCTGTTTCATTCTTCTATTTTCCCAGAAGGTGGGGCTAAAGTGTCAAACTGCCTTGTGCTCTTAAATGCCCACTGACAGACTTAGGAAAAAAATGTAGACAAAATAAGCAATCCTCAAAATAGCCACAAACCTTTTAGAAATATAATTTACAGAAGATAATAGATGCTAAATAAAATATTCTCAGAACCCAGTTGGCACAAAACCATGGCTTACTGAAGTCAGATGGGTCATATATCTGAGAGCTTACTGTATTGAGAGAACTATGTTGGAAATATAAGATAGCATGCAGAATAAAAGTATCTGAAGCTCTTGATTGCTTTGGAAAGACAGTTGTGCGGGTTATGCTTAATGATAGATGTTCAGAGTGAAGTGAATGGCTTATGATGTCACTACAGATATAGAATCTAGGGACTGTTGCCATAACCTCTTCTTATATCATTTATTATAAGTCTTCCATAAAGGGTCTTTTCTTAAGAGATTCTAAAAAAACAAGTTATGTATAGAATAATTGAACAGTGACAAATTTAGGATTATCTAGTTTGTTTCTGCTTGTTTTCCCTTTTTATTTTTTGCTTTTTTGCAAATATATGGCTGATTATATTCCAGTTGGAAGTACAGTAGATACTTTCCAAATTTGTTGGATTGGTCATATAGGACTGATTGTGGGATTGTATTATAGGTATACCTTGCTTAATGAGTATTCTGTTTAGTGATTGTTCGAAGTTATGATGGTATTGAAAAAGTACTTTTTGCAATCAATCCTCACATGTATGACTGTGACAGGGTCCCATGGTAATTTGATTGCTATTTGTGCACTTCACAACAAGCAGAGTCAATGGAGAAGCCGGCAGTAAAAATATCATTCATGGTCACATGATGTCTTGCTTAATAAATCACCCATGGTGATTTGCTTAATGACCAAATGAGAAATGACATTATAACTCAACCATACACATAATGTTTTGCTTAGCTACAGAATTGCTGGTCTGAATAGTCCTAAGTGTGGACCATCTTTAAGGGAATATTGCCTTATTTACAGGGGGGGGGGGAGGAAAGAAACAAAATAAAAGAATAGCTTTAGGTCTGTCAATAAAAGCTGAATGCTGTAACTAAAAAGTAGCAAGGAAATAATTGTCCAATGAATTATGAGATTTAAAATGTCAGAATGGTAGGGCTGGCTACACTTTTAGCCAATTTTGTTGCATGCCACAAATTTTGAAATCCTTAAAAAAAGAAGCAACAATTGTATGGTATGATTCGTGCATAAAGACCATACATTTTAAGTCTACAGGCTCCCTATCTGTATATTAGATTTTACTGCAATGTAGAAAGATACCGAAAATATGTTGTTTAGGCAGATCAGGTCTTTTGTAGTGGTTTTTATAATGTAAATAAAATTCAAAGTTTGACTAAGAATCCAATTTAACAAATTGATTGGTTTTACTAATAAACATTCATATGAATATCACTTTCCTATCACATTGAAGCTATTTGTGTTACAGCTTCCTTATTAGTCTCCAACTGTAAGTTATGTTTTGCCAAATGTATTCTTTCTTCATTGCTTGTCAAGATGTGCATTTTCCTTTGTGGTTGACCTTATGGCTGGGTGGAAAACTAAACATGACAGACACTAATGTTTATTTTCTTGCAAGGATATTTTATATAGCTAGCGCCAAGGATTGGCATTCGGAAGATAAATTGGAAGTTGATCTATATTTCCCCTCAAAGAGATACCAATATCTGAGGGCAGCTGATCATCATGATACCAAGGGTTTAAATAATAATAAAGATTAAAGATCTCTCAAGGGTATTGTTAGGCAAAAGGATCTAATATGTATAACCTTTTTTAGTTTCCAAACCTTTTTAATGTTTATTAATGTTTATTGACAAGGTTAATTCAGTCATAGAGAAAAAGAGGTTTTTCCATATCAAGTTATTAAAAGACCATACTGGCACTTGAATTTGAAGTAAAACGGCTTTCGCATTTGGCATTAATTCTTGATGTCCTGCTGATTCACCATATCAGAACTGAGAAGTTTTCATAAATGCTTGCTGTTCCCTTTTTCCCCCTGTTCTATTTGACCTCATTGCAGCTTCAGCAGTAACTGAACAAATACAGGTTTTACTTGTTCTTCTGGCAAAGCAGGCTCTTCTCTGCAGATGCTTATATTTCTGTCGGTTTTTAAGATTCTATTTTGAGTTTATTACAAGAAACAGTTCCTGTTTTTGAAACACAAACCCACATTTTGTAATCCAAAATATTTGTTAATAAATCTGCATTTTGTTTTTGTAAAAATATTGCATGAAAGGTTCCAGTGTTGCCCTTAGTCAAAATTCATAAATTGAGAATAGAGATTAAGATAAACGTGTTTGTATGTATGTAATACTTGCACACACATATATGCATATATCTAATACTAATACTAAAGTTGTTCTAAGGTAGCGGAAGCCAAGTATTAAATTCCTATGAAATCTTTTACTTTGGTAGACGTGTCATGAACAGTATGTGTTACTCAAAAAAGTCTTGCCACATATCCTTTATTGTGGAAGCACACAACCACACAACCAAATGTGTTTACTGCATTGTTTCCAAGCACTGCAGTGCAGGTTTTCTTTTTAAAAAATGGATGAAGCCTATCCTGACTTTAAAAATGTGGAGTATGCTCTAGGAAGCTGTGTTTTGGTGTAAGAATCTTTGGAGACTGAAGAAGAGATTTTAGGGTTATGTGCAGATTATTATTTATTTATATGACTGCCCCTCTCACACAGGTGACTTGCGTACAAGGTTTAAAAACTTGAAAACCATAACCCCAGCACCCAAGGATAAACAGTGTCTCTGTTCATAAAAAACACATCAGTAATAACAGAATTCAGCTAACCTCCTGACCCAAATCTTTAGGAAAACATGCCTTGTGAAAAGCTAATAGGATCACGAGTATCTGAATCTCTAGGGGAATGCTATTCCATAAGTTGCCAATCCTGTTTTATTAATGTTAGTTTTCAGAATCCTTATTTACTGAATTGAGTATGCAAATATTTTAAGTAATTACAAATGTCACATTGAAGAACAAGAGTTCTGTCTAGCACTGGCTGTTTTAATTTTAATAACTGAATGCCCTTGAACTGAGAAGTGTTAAGTGTCCTTAGGCTGCTTTTAACTTTAGCTTAATGGACTAAGTCAATTTGAAAGAATTCAATTAAAGTTTGTTGAACATGTTCTTTAGTGCAGAACCGGCTAAAATAAATTTAAATGTAGTAGTAGATTTTTGGCCAGTTGCTATAGATTGGCAAGGATTTCCAGATCAGGAAATTTAGTTGTGGAGAAGAATAGAGAAAAACATTACCTTCTTAATTCAGATTGTGAAAATCAAGAAAGCTGAGTAGAGGGACAAATAAATCTATATATGGCTTTCAATTGTAATGTCAAAAAATCCCAGAATTGACCATATCCTTAGAAGCTGATTGCTTCGCTATTCAGTTTTTGTATTGTCAAGTAATTAAAGATCTGGAGATTTTTGTAAAACAATATAATACAAAACAAAAGACCTGATCTTAAAAATTCAGGTGGGTTTAGGCAACTTATTGTCCTGTTCTTAGGTTCAACGGTTTTTTCCCTAATATAGCTGAAAAACTGGACTCATTTGTTATCTGGGATTAGATTCTTTTAATAAAAACAAAATAAGGAGTCTTGTGGCATTTATTTTGTGGTCATGTCCTCTTCCTTGGATGGATAAAGTCCTATGTGAGAGATGTTATAGTACATATAGATGTAGTGGGAAGGAAATAGGCAGAATAAATCCATCTTCTACATCTTCCCTATTTTTCTCATGCCATAGCCAATAGGTTCTAAAGATAATTTGCTTTTTTTCTTTAAATGATACTAAACCTCTAGCAAATACAAGGATGTGAGCAGAACACTTAAAAGTCTTCACTCATGTTCATTAAGAAAATAAGCAAGGATTACTTGATCTTTTGCCATTGAAGTGATATTTTATTGCAGCTTTGTATTGATTTGGGTCCCTTCCAGTTTTTTATTTGCTTTATATTAGCCTGCACGTATTTTAATGCCATAATTTCACGTTACCATTTGCAGTATAGATGGCATTGCACTGAATTTTCAACTTTGAAACCCAACCATAGAGCCATTTCTAAAGAATACTTACTGTTCTTTTGATTGTAACAAGTAGTCCAATGAAAGGCTGTTTTGTAGATACAAGTAAAGCAACGCAGTTGCTGAGTAAGTTGCATACATTTTCTATATTGCTGCTAAAAATGATAAACGATTTCCCCCAAATAATGCAAGAGACTGTTTCCTAGTGCACGCTTAGTATATGGCTCAACCTAAACTCTCACCCCATCAAAAACACAGATTCGCAGAAATGAACCATGTTCACACCTATCCATAGGTTCCTCTTTCTTAAGGTGACTCAGCCAGCTTATCCCCTTCCCTGAGCTGTCTTGCCCTTTCTCCACTCTGCCTGGCTCCTTTGTCTGCCTGGCCTCCTGCTGGTCTATCCTTTTGATCTGAGTCCAAAGCCATTCTGTCAAGGCCAGAGAATGAGATGACAGAGCAGCTTGCTTTTTCACACCAAGGCTTCTTTGTTGCTTAAAATACAAGTTCTTTAAAAAAGCACTTTGGAGGGCATTTTCAGTCCAAAGTGTGGTTGCATCTCATGACTTAAATTAGGACTTGTAACTAAGACCGTTTTGCAGAAGATAAAAATTTCTATGCTTTTGAAATTCAGGTTTTTTTAGTTGCTTCTGTTGTATAGTAAAACTTCTTTTAACACCTCAAAGTTATTTTTGAATGCTTATTGTAAGTTCCAAATTTGTCCTTTAATTCTATAAGACCTACAATGGTCTTCGACTCAACAAACATTTGTTTAGCGACTGTTCAGAATTGTTGCAGCACTGAAAACGGTTACTTTCGACTGGTCCTTGCACTTACTGACCTTCCCTGCGTCTCAGTCACATGATCAAAATTCAGGCCTTTGGCACCTGGCGTGGATTTATGATGGTTGCAGTGTCCCAAGGTCATGGGATTGCCACTTGCAACCTTCCCAGCCAGCTTCCAAAAAGCAAAACCAGTGGGAGAAGCTGGAGATCATCCGTGGCTTTGGGGTGGATTTCCATCAGTACGCTGATGATACTCAGCTGTACATATCCACCCCGGGCCACCCCAACGATGCCCTTGACGTGATGACCCGGTGCCTGGAGGCCGTGAGGGTCTGGATGGGGAGGAACAGACTCAGGCTCAACCCTTCCAAGACCGAGTGGCTGTGGCTACCGGCGCCTCGG